ATACCATTCTTTTAACTGAAAATCATGCCTTACTTTCCAATTCCTTGCTATCATTAATCTTCTTGCTATCATAAACTTCAATAAGTTTGAAGTTAATTATTTTGTTGTCCAACTCAATTGCTCCTTATCAAATACTGATAAGAGAGCTATTTATGGCAAACCTCTATATTTATCTTAATTATTTCATTTCTTTCCTTAAAACCTAACTACCAAAATTTTAATATATTCTCACATTCCCACCACATATTAAAATAAGTACCTATTTTCTGACATCCTCTCTAGCATAACTGAGAATAATTAATATCTCTTTGATTTAGTTTCACTGAAATTAAATACATCTCCAAAATCATTATTTAAAAAAATCTCTTTGACCTCATAGACACAGACATTAATACTCTTTTATCCCATATATTTTTCCAGACCTCAATATCTATTTCCTTCCCCAAATCATGTCCCCATGATGTTCATATGTAATTTTACCCAATTCATAACTCTTATTAATAAAGTATCATCAGCAAATGAACTAATCTTAAAGTTATTCTTAAAGTAAATACCCTGAATTAATTTATCTTATCTGATAACATTTGATAACAATTCTTTATCGAAAGCAAACAATATCAGGGAAAGGGAACTTCCTTGCCCAGTGCCACAGCCTAGGGATATCTCTTCTGTTATACCAGCACAGCTGTAATGTTTTCTGAATATAATTGATTTTTTAACTTTTAAGTTGCTCCCCAAAACCTAATGTTTTTATTATCATTTTTATGTTTGCCATTCCACATAATCGAATACCTTAAAAATATCTAATGAAATTATTTCTGCCTTCATTTTTAAATTTTTTAAATGACATTTAGTACATTTAATGCTCTCCTGTCAAATTTGTTTTTTGCCTTCCTATTATAAAATCATGTTGATATTCTTTAATACGCTTTGGAATAAAAACATTCATACTCTTTGCTAATATTACCGTAAGTATCTTAGCATCTTGATTTAGTAAAGAAATAGGTCTGTAATCTCCAGAGTCAGTTAAGTCCTTATTTGCTTTTAGAATTAATGTTATTAATGAGTGCTTCCAACATAATGGAATCTTTTCCCCTTCCATTGTTTTATTTAAAATGGATTTCAATTTAGGTAATAATTTCAGTCCATCTATTCCCAGAGTCTTTCCTACTTTCAATTAATTAATAATATCATCTGCCTCTTCTCCAATTTTTCTCAATATATTCTCTAATTCTCTCCAAGGAAACCTGTCCCCTAGTGTATAATTCTCTTTAAAAAAAATTCTGAAAAATTTCCTGGATTTCTCCTCTCCCCTCATGCAGAGAAGAAGCTGTAAAAGAAAAAAAGTTGAGAGAAAAGCTGTATGTGTGCATTTGTATTTGTGGTTCATCTTCCCTCATGAGGCAAAAAATAAGGTGGAAGAGGTATGTTTGTGTGCATGTACACATGGTTCTTCCTTCTTCATGAGGCAAGAGACAAAGGTGAACAAATGTTGCTTGTCCTCTCTCACAATTCAAGAGATTAGGGGAAATACATGTGTGTGTGTTTGTGATTAGTCCACTGTCACAAAGCAAGAGGGGAGGGGGAAGATGAGAGAGAGTGTGTGTATGCACAGTGCATTGTCCCTCTTTTGCATCAGTTTGCATCACATGACTGAACTGACACAAATGATTCCATTTAAAAAAAACATAGAAGACTTAGCAGCAGACCAAGCATTTCCTTTTGCATCATATGATCAATGGAAAAATGCAATTCAGTCTACCCTAAACCTGTAGTATTTTTTTTCCAGTGTAGTAATAAGCCACAATTTGTCCTTAAAAAAAGCACAGACTTAGGTGGGTGAAGGGCTAACATTCACAATCTTACAGAGACAGTTTCTGATTCAATTTTGAAGTTGATATGTCGTATGTGTATTGTTAGCTGATGTTAACTGGGGAAAAATATTTCAGTCAAATGATCTAACCCCACTATTGCTAATACATGTTTCCCATTATCTAGTACTCATGAGTAGAGATGGGCATGAAACTAACTACAAAGCAAAAAAAAAAAACACACACACACACACACACACACACACACACACACACACACACACGAGCTGTTTTGTGATTTTGTTTGGAGGCGCTTTGGACCTGGACTGACTCATGGGATGACTCTCCTCCCTATCCCCACCATGTTTGGTGAAGATTGGATTTGGGACATTTGAGCTATAACCCCCAAAGCAGATCCCCAAGGAAAGTGCTCTTTAGCCAAATCTAATCTTTACCAAACTTGGAGGGAGTGGGTAGGAGAGTCAGCTTAAGACTTGCTGGGAGCTTGGTATCTCTAACTCATACAGGGGTTGTTCTACAACTCCCAGAAGTCCCAAATCACATGAACCACAAAACAGTTTGTTTAGTCAGGAAGCTCATGAAAGTTCATGGTTGATAGTATGTGAATAGCAACAAACCATGAACCATCATGAATCACCATTTTCACAGTTCATGCCCACCTCTGCTCATAGGCACTGAAAATGTGGAGGGGATTACATTTCTGTGAAGTTAAATTTGCTAGTGTGGGACAGTAGCAAAATCATGTGAGCTATTCTTATTAGAGATGGAGGTATTCGTATACAAATATGAATACTCCCACATACCGGAGTTAACAGGGTTCCAGACTCCTCTTCCCTCCTTCTGCCAGAAGTGGCTAGCCTACCGGGCGCCCCAGAGTGATTGGAAAGGAAGAGCAGGGCTGGTGCCAGCAGTGGACATGTGAGGGGGCTTGACCCTTGTTAATTTCAACTGTGTGGGGTTATTCATATTTGAATACGATTACCTCCATCTCCAGTTATTATACACAATGATATGCAGATCTCTGCTCTAACTGCATCTGCACCCCTGTGGCTGCTTACTTGATTGCATACAATGTGGTTGAAATATGAATCCCTTGCTAGGTCTAGCATGTGCCTGATATTACTTAGAATTCTATTTAGTACATTAGCTATCAGATATTTGGAGAGCAATTTTCCCTAGAGTAACAGAAAGAACCTAAATTTTTTTTTGGGGGGGGGGAAGAAAAATAACTACTCCAAATACATTCTACTTCTGAATTTTACTTGTGTTTGTTACATTTGAAGAAAATTGTTAATGGGTTCCACAGTTATTCAAATTTTGAATGTTTCTTGGCTGCAGATTGTCTTTATCAGCTCTTTACCAGTTTAAAATCAATGCAATAGCATGTGTGTGTGTGAGAGAGAGAGGAGAGAGAGAGAGAGAGCAATGAAAATCAGTTTAATTAAAGATTTACTTTAAGGCAGAAACCATTTACCCATTTGCCTAGGAGTAAGCCCCATTGACTTTTAGACCTTTCAAGGATTGCATAGGAAGCCTAATTATAATTGATCATGACAGGTATGCTTGTAGGGAGTTTCTATAAAGTATTGTACGATGCTAATAGGAAACAAACATTCATATTCAGACACAATGAATAAGCTAGCATTTGAGAAAGAAAATAGGAAAATCTTTGTATAAACAGTCACTTCTGTTGAGCTAAAAATATGTTGATGTTTTTCTGGTAGCTAGGCAACAGGAAAAAAAACACCACTTACCTGAATTGCTGTTTATTTTACTTTTTATTTTTAAATCCCAGCTGTAGAGATGTTGATTCTCGGTACTTATGAGATGGTAGCAAGAGTGACTGTTTATGGTGTTGCTAAATTGTTTAATGTACTGTTTGATATAAAAAGCACATTAGATATCAGAACAAATGTTTCCTATATCTATAACCAGCCATTAGATTTTTTTAGATTGTTTCATAAATATTTCAGTGTGGTATATAATGTAGGTAAATGACCTTTCTTTACTGTCATAAATATCAGAATGCACAAGGCATTAAATCAGTACATTTTTGTTTTTCACACAAATGCTAATATTGATCCAGTCATGTGTATCTTCATAGAAATATCTGAAGATACATAGGATATTATTTCCTTGATACATGAGAAAGATAAGTAGGGCTTCTTTCCATCATTGATTATATTATCACAGGACAAATTTCTGTATTATTTGCTAGTCCTAAGAAAGTTGGCATAACGTAGACATAGGCATAACATAATTTAATGATGTTGAAAGATGAGCAGCTCTTTCATTGTTCATGCACCAAGATTGTCATATTTCTGTGAGTTGTGGAGAATTTTTCTGACACCAAGGAGAATTTCAGTGTATTGCTGGATATGAAAATGCCCCATATCAAAAGAATGTTCATAGCTGCATAAGCAAGTGTATTGGGAGCATTTCCACTCAAATAGCCAAAGCTAACAAATACTTCTTAAGTGACTTAAGAAGTAAGATATCCTCCCTAATTCCTAGAAAAGAACTGAATAACAAACAGGGGTCATAGGGGTCATAGCAACTGGAAAGAAAAAAACACAGGCTCCTTAGTATAATTAACTATCATGCTGGTTCTGCTATTGTTAGTGTATGCCAGGGGTTTTTACACCCTTTAACAGGACAAAGCTTCAATGGAATAGATCTGAATAGATCTATAATATCTAAGAAGATATTATAGGACTGGCCATTAAAAAATGAGCACAGCAATCTGAACTCAAGTGGGGTGATCCAAAATTTTATATGCATATTTGCATAGAGAGAGTAGTATCTAAAACAATGCATTTGATTGCTCATTTCCTTGTTTTGGAGCATCAGCTAGTTTCCTCTCAGCCCATATCAATAAAAAGGTTCTTTTCATGGATTTCAGTGATTTTTCAGATTACTTATGAAACTAGTCTGATGTCTTATAAATATTTTTATATAAGAAATGAATTTTGGACCGCATACACAGACACAGACACAGACACAGACACAGACACAGACACACACACACACACATACACACACACACACAATTGCTGTGATTGTACATTTTCAAATATTTGTAATTTAGTGGCATATTAGAGTTTAAAAAAGGATATCCATTTAAAATACATTGCAGTTTCAATTTCATTTTTTTAAAATTCCTTTTAGATATTTCCACACCATATACTTGGGCATCCGGAGTAGAAGGAGTGGTGATAATGACAGATGGCGCTTTTATTGGAAAATGGTTTATGAGTATGCAGATGTGAGTATGCTCCATTTGCTTGCTACATTTTTGGAAAGTGCCCCGCAGCTGGTACTGCAGCTCTGCATTGTTGTACAGACACGAACTCTTCAGGCCCTCCAAGGTAAGGATTTTCCTGCTGTTTAGGTTTAATATTGTATATTATGTATAAAATATGGGTTGGATGTGCCATTTCATTCTGTTGGCAGTATCATCACCTGCGTGAGTTTGCTCAGAATGAGCCTCCTTGCAATGAGTATGGAAATTTCAACTTGCAGTCTCTGGTGCTTTTCTCTCCAATGTCCCAAAGGATTTCTCCAGAAGGAGCCACAAAGACTTGGACACAGCTACAAAAATCTTCAACATCTCCATTCCATTAAAACCGAACTGATCCACTAGATTAAAAGGCTTCCATGTGTGGAGGCAATGGCGAGACCCAAACTTTAATACTTAAGAGGTGGAGGAAATTAGTTTCTCACACTTATCCCAGTGAGCATGGACATTGGACATGCTGTCTGATGGATTCCGGACATTGTAGCTGAAGAAGATTAGGTGGCCATGATGGCTAAGGGATCCTGAGAGATGTAGTTCAAAGTGTAAATTTTCACTTCTCCAGTGTTTTTCTAATCTAAGGGCCAAAGCAGACATTAGTTTAAAAGTGTAACTTGTTTTTCTTCACTTTAGTGTAGAGTAAGCATAGAGCACAATATGGATAGGACCACAACATAGGGACAGAAGACTTTAACCGTCCCCCAACACTAGTGATCAGTTTGGTAAATAGATAGTTTGAAACACATATTGCAGTTTTTGAGGTCCCTTCTAGATTGGGAACACAGTGGAGGAAAGTGTTCAAGCTGTATCTTTAAAGTAATGTCTCTGTTGGCAGTAATAGTATACATGTTGAAGTTGCTGATACATTTAACATAAGGTGGGCTTAAAAGAGTGGGATAACACTAAGTTTCTACTACATTTTCATATGCTGGGGTCTGACTTCCTTGGAATCCAGTTTCCCAGCACAAAAAACACAGTATCTAAAGACCAAAACTACTTTAGATTACTTTTTTGGGAAAATAAAATAAATTGAAAACTCAATATGTTTTATCTGGTTTATTTCTTCAATCAACAGTGGGACAGAGAGAGAGCCTGTCAATCTCTAAAAGAGTGTGCATCCCATTCAAAATAAATAAACCACCCAAAATAAATTGTCTAGAACCATTTAAGTTCAGCAATAATGAAATCACTTCTGGAGATATAGGCACTTACATGTATAACAGAAAGGGGTGGTGGTGGTTAATTATCATACTTTTTTGCCTTGCTTATGTATCAGTGAAACAGGCCTTTTGAAAACCAGAGACAATAACTGTGAACAGAAGTTAGATGTAGTCCATAATTAGAACAGGAAAATCATTAGCTCATGAAAGTGTCTGACTATATCTAAGCAGGGGTTTCCCTCCTCTCTGAAAGCATACAAGTTAGCTTGCTTTGTTAAGTGATTAGTCTTCAGGTTTCAAGCACATCCTTTGATGTCTGATTTTGCAAAACCTGAAAGACTGCCTCAGTCTCCTCACTGCTCCACTAGTGTTCTTTCAGCTCTAGCATTATACTTACACTGAAGAGCAAGCAGGAGAATTTCAAGGTCAACAGTGCCTGATTCCCTCAGCTTTCAGGTCCAAACCTAACATAATGGGGGTCCTTGTGATGTCACAGAGGTGAGACAGGCAAGAGTTGAGAGAGGCTTGAGTTGCTTCTGGGCCAAATGATCATGGAAACAAGTGGGGAATCCAGGTAAATCAGTTGAGAATCCATATAAAACTTGGCTGATCAGATAATACGGCAAATCAGAGTCAGACTAACTAATTTGGTGGGTAGGTAGATAGCAAAAAGTGCCAATTCCCACTAGAGTACAAATTCTGTTCAGTCTGCATACTGGGCTTGTAGAAAGCTCATCATGAGCCCACTGGAAGTTTGTTTTCCAGCAAGCTGTTCACTGCTACTGCTGTCTAGGTGTGAGAAACAAGAAGGTTCATGAGCTGTGAGGCTGGTGTTCCCTCCCTGCCTTGCCCCAGATAGTACAAAGTACAAGCTCCCACAATCCCAGCCCGCAGTCCCCTCTTTTTGCTCTTGCCTTTCTGGGGTACCAGTGTTGCACAGTCACAACACTCATATAAACATTTCTAGCTTGAGTTAATGAGTCGATAAATATGGATGCCTAAGTATACATAAACATGACTTTTAAAATCCTATTGCATATTGACTTCCTGCCCAGACACCTAGAATGGCAAAGGAGCTTCATGAGATGTCATTCACTGCCTTCAGATTTGGCAGCCATAGCAAGTCCCTTTTCCATGTGTACAATTAATTTTAAAAACCCTCAAATGACTTCCAAAAGAGATCTTTCAGGTGTAACTTAGAAAAAGAAATATTCATTGCAAACTCTCCTGAGCAATGATGTTACCAGCCATTATTTTAAAAAAAAAACACGCAACAAAACTGGTCCAAATCTTGCTGTGAAATATGGCATGCATTTTGTTTGTTTTGCAGTGTTCTGCCTGTCTGTCACATACTCAGGTGCACAACCAAGTGTACCGTCAAATACATGACCCAGGCATGTCTGAGGAGCATGCAACGGAGAGCTAGAACAACCAGGCTACAACAGTTATACAGTTTCTGGTTTATACTATGTGATTGCAACAGGATTTCTGACAAATGAGAATGTTATTCCACCAAACATAACTATACTAAAAGCAACACAGCTACTTTTAAGGCATTATTTAGAAACTATAAGATAGTGTGATCAGATGTGAAATAGCTCACATTTTGGATGGCTCATGGAATGGTCCGGTGTAAGCTGTTTCCTTGACAGTCACATGGCTTACAGGGAATAGTGCTCCAGCCCTACCCCGATCTATGACCAAGGTCATGATCCAACAGTTAGGTTGCTACTTTTGGGGGGTGGGCTGGAATTATTACCCAGCAGATGAAAGGGTCACTTTAAGGGAGATTGCTCAATGGAAAGCAATCCTTTCCAGTATAATCGGATGTGAATCTTTTTTTTATCAGCTTGGTAGGAAGAAAAGCCAGACTGTCTGACTCTGTACACGTGGCATGATTCCAGAATGTCCCCAGAAGAAGATAATAGTAAACCACATCTAAATACTTTACACCCAGAAAACCCTGAAAAGGGTAGCCATAAATCAGAAGTGACTTGGCAGCACATTATTATTATTACTAGGGAGAAATCATTTATTTATTTATTTATCTATTTATTTATTTATCTATTTATTTATTTATCTATTTATTTATTTATCTATTTATTTATTTATCTATTTATTTATTTATCTATTTATTTATTTATCTATTTATTTATTTATTTACCACCCATCTGACAGCTAGGGCCACTCTGGGCAGTTTATGACAATAAACAAAACCATTATTGCTAGGGAGAAGCTAATGCCATTATTCTTCAGCTACCCATCAGAGGTCTCAGTGGAAAGGTGTGTACCTAAAAACTCAGATGTACCCCATCTGAATATGTGCCATATTCTAGATGTGCCTAGCAATCAAGATGGTGTGCTTAGCATTCAAGATGGATCCCATTCTCTTGTGCAACTATTCTCATTATTGTCCTGATTGTTTGCACAAAGCCTTCCATGCTCGCACCTATACATGCAGTAGCTATATTCACTGCAAGCTGGGGGAGGTCATCAGATATGTCTTTGTCCAGAATAATGGGGTAGTTTCCCCTTGATAAATCTCTGCCAGTCTATGCATAATCCAAATTCCTAAGCTCCAATGAGCTTGATTTAATGACATCAGTATATTTCTCTCCAGACATTGTCTCTGCGCATGCATCAGAAAGTACAGATAGTGGATGAAGAACTGCTGTTTCTTTACATGGTCTTTACACGTTTCGGTGGTCTGATGGATTTTCAAGAAAAATCGTTCTTGGGCACTGCTTGTAGCAGACATCGTTATCAGAGAAAAGTGTCCTTGCAGTCATGACACCTCTTGGCACTGCTACAGTTCAGTTCTTTTGCCTTTTCTACTGTGTATCACTTTGTACCAGGATATCCTTAATAATACCTGTCCTTTCTCACAGCAAGATCTTATTGTGCTTCAGTAATTTTTAGTTATATTGTAGGGCAGCTCAAAACTGTTGTAAAAGGAAAAAAAAAGGAATATACGGAAGACTGTGTGCCATTCTTTTCAGTATGAAATCCTTTTTAGATTGTCCCAGTGCTCCGTTCTGGAACATTTATTTATAAGTCTCTGTGGATGTTACTTGGATTTAAACAGTTTTCCCTTTTTCAATTTTTTTTCTACTTAAGAAAAATGGGCAGGGCCTGGAAAAACAGCAATTTGTTTCATATTGAACGGGTTGCTGTTGCAGGTGACGGGAGCGACTCCGTCACTCTCCATATTGAACAATTAGGTCAGTCAATTTTAAAAAATGAGAAGAAGAAAGGAAGTCTGATCCTCTCCCTAAAACTCCCCTTCTAAACACCATGTAAGCGCCCCTGTTTGCCTTGCCTGTTTGCCAAGCACTGAGAGCACACAGTCAGAAACAAACTTACCCACAGAAACCTTTAAAAAAAAAAACACCCATTCGAGATTCGAAGCTGGCCTCCCAGACACAGCTCTCCTTCTGCTCCCTCTGGAGGGACTGAGCTGGAAAGCTGCTAGAAGTACTTGTATGGAGCTAAGCTGCTAGCTCCACCCCCCAGGGGCTCAGAAGAAGCCCCGCCCCCTCAGACCATGGTCAGAAACAAACTTACAGAAACCTTTAAAAAAATCCACTCAGTGGAGGATGGCCTCCTAGACACAGCGCTCCTTCTGCTCCCTCTGCAGGGACTGCAGTAATCCAGCAGGAAAGTACCTTGTTTCCCTGAAAATAAGACAGGGTCTTATATCAATTTTTGATTTAAAAATGCATTAGGGCTTATTTTGGGGGATGTTTAATTTTTTCAAGAACAAAAATTTACATTTATTCAATTATTTTATTTTATTTATTATTATTAATTCATTCCCGTTCTCCTTCCCCTTCTTTAAATGTACCCGGTGCCACTTCCTCCAGGGTTGCTTCTGCCACTGCCAGGAGGCGCCGTGGTGGTGGCTTGGGTTCCT